GGCTTCACCAGAGACAGAGCGGGGAGCAGAACAGGCAGATCGACGAAGTACACTGCTGAGGGGAGCAGCGGGCGGGTCAGGAGAGGTCTGCCGCGCCATGTGGTCACCTCCTGGGCAGGCGGGAATCGAACTCATGTAGAAGTGGCTTTAGATTCTCAGTGCAGTGCTTTAACCCGCTGCGCCACCAGGGAGGGCCCTGTACCACATCTTTTTAATCCAGTCATCCACTTTTGGGCATTTGGGCTGTTTCCAAGTCTTTCCAACTGTAAATAAGGCAGCGATAAACATGGGGGTGCAAGAAACAGGCCAGGGAGTGGGGAGCGGCAGGCAGCTGAGCCACTAGGAAGGGGCTGTGCTGAGGATGGTGCTTGGACAGGGCGGACGCCAGGCCCTGCCGGTGGAATTGGGGCGTAGGGACTCCCCACATTGGGGACAGGCTCTCAACGGAGACAAGCAGGGCCTCACTGCAGCTTTTAAGGACAGAGTAGGGCAGACTTGCGCTGGACCCGAACCAGAGTCCCACACCCCAAAGCCATTCCCTGCGCCCACAGTGGATTTAGGGGGGCAGCGGGGGCAAGAGCAGAGGAGAAAGGGAGGCCAGGGCTGGGGCAGGAACGGGAGGCAGGGGAACCCCCGAGCTGGGAGTGAAGCCGCCTACAGAAGAGCCGTCAGGCCAGGGGAGGGACGTGGGCGACTGGCCGGCACCTGGAGCTGGAAGGAAGCACCTCTGAGGGCTGAGGACAAGCGGGTCCCCGGGGCTTGGAGCCGGGCCACAGCTTCTCACCAGGGTGACGCACTGTGCGTGGCCAGGTGCCGACTCACCTGGTGAGAGGGTGAAAGACCAGGGCCGGGGGAAGCTCTTAGGGTAGAGTGGGGGCGCTGGTTCCTGTCCCCCTTCTCTGGGTCCTTGAGAGTGAGGGAGGGCACGGGCATGTATATGGGTACACAGGCGGGAACTTGGGCATCTGGGTAGCTGAGGCTGGAGGCCGCAGGCCCCTGCGGTCAGGCAGGTGGACAGTGGTGTGGTCAGTCTCTCCCATCTCCCCTGTGGCTGGAGGGTGCAGACACCACGTCCCTCTGATACCACATCTGCCCAGACCCTTTCCTCTTTGAAAACCCTCTCTCTACCCCACCAGACACAGGCTTCCTCTTTTGCATTATGTCCTCCCTGGGCCTGTGGGAGCTGACGGCCACTCGATGTCCAGCCTATGCCAGCGCAGCCCCCAGTGCTCTGTGGCCCCCTCCATCTGTCCCATCTGCACAGGGACTTCTGTGCCGTCCTCAGTGGAACCTGCTCTGTGACTGAGCCTGGGCCTGGGAGTCAGTAATCAGGAGCCCGAGGAGGGCAGCGAGATTGCCTCTGGACGCCAAAAATAGGCCTGACCTGGGCCTCCACCCCCACCCCGTCTCGGCAACCTCTCTGAGAGAGCACTTCCGCAGCCCTGACAGGAAACAGACTGAGGCTCAGCCTCCCGCCATCTCAAGGCTACTTCTTGTTTCCCTTGTTGCCTTGTGCCAGCCCTGGGGCTGTGACCCCGACTCCACCCCCAAAGCCTCCCCAGGGCGCATCCAGTAGCTCAGAGGGGAAAGGATGGTGGACATAATTGGCAAGCTGAGGAGGAGGCAGAGTCGGGCCCTGCGGGGACAGGTAGGGCCCCGGCGTCGGAGGTGGGGCTCAGCCTGACAGGGCTGGCGGGAGGCTCTGGGCGCCGGGGGGGGCACCCGTGGCCCCCAACTCCTGGTGCCGTTAGGAGCAGAGTGAACTGGGGTTCAGAGCAAGGTGCCTCCTGGAGGTTGGAGACGCCTCCCTTCTTTCCTCTTTCCTTTTCTGAGGCCCTGCCTCAGTGAGGGGAAGGGAAAGGGGTGTGAGAGATGGTCACTGGCGTGGGGGGAGAGAGACAGGCCACCGGCCTGCGGGGAAGGGCAGGGAACTGGACACCAGCGCGGCAGCGGGGCTGGGCAGCAGCCGTGGTGGGAGCCAGGCCCCCCCTTGGCTCCAGCCTCCGGCCTAGGTGGGGACCACTTCCTCTTTTCCACTTGGTGTCCCTCATGATTGCCGCCTGGGCCCCAGGCTCATGTCCTAGTCAGGCCCTGCGGTGGACCAGGGTTGGGTCTTGCTGGGCCTCTGGGAGTTCGGGGCAGGGTGGCAGAGCCCACCCTGGCCAGGGTGAGCTCGGCTCAGGGCCCATGGCAGAACTGGCCCCGCCGAGCTTCTGGGGACCCTGATCCTGACCGGGACTCTGCCAGGAGAGGAAAACACCTCTGTCTTGGCTCTGTGGGGCTCCACAGAGTTCTAGCGGGCGAAAGGACACCAGGGCTGCTGCGTCCCGAGCAGGGGTGGACTCCACTTGCTTGCCTCTGCTGCCAGCGCCATGCATCCCGCCCCGAGGTAGCTGCATCCCTGGGGCACTGCCCTGCCCCCACTGGCCTCTGCTGCGCTCGGAGCCCACTGCCCGTCCCTTCCTCGGGACTGCCCTATCACTTGAGGCACCTTATCTTCTGCCTGGCCAACCTCGCTGCCTGTGGGGCTGTTCCTGAGTGTGAGTTCCCATTAGCCCCGGCAACCTGGGACTCCTGTGGCTCTGAGCCAAGCCAGCAGCCTGGCGGATGGAAATCCCAGCCCCAAAGAGCCGGGCTCCTCTCTGGCTCTTCTGCTCCCCCTCCCCCTACCCTGTACAAACTTCCAGCCCTGCCCCAGGCATGGGAAAAGGCACTGCCTTGTGGAGCTGGCCCGGGTAGGCGGGCAGTGTGCAGTCACCCTCTCCCCTCACCCCCGCCTCCATTCTGCACGGAGCCCTCATTGCAGGGAGCCCTGGCCACAGCACGCCGGGCCGGTCCTGTGCCCCTACTGCTGAGGCCTGCACAAGGAGGACTTGTGCGTCCAGGCAGTAGGCGCTCTGGACAGGCGGGCCACTCGCTTTAGGACACTGAAGCACCTGCCTCGAGCCCAGGGGTCAGTTCCATCATCCTGGGTCTCGTGCTCAAGAAAATCCTGCCCTTTCGGGGCAGATGGGTAGACAACTGACCCCCAAGGCAGAACGCCATTGGGCCTGAACAGAGCAAGGAGCAGGTGTCGTGGCTAGGCCTCTCTCAGGAGGGGCGCTGAGGGCCCAGGGAAGCAGCGCTCGGAGGCAGAGAACGAGAACGGGGAGTCCAGGCCGAGGAGCAGCGGGGGCAGAGACACAGCCAGAGTGGGAAGGTGCCACTTGTGTTGTGGGGAGGGTCAGCTGGCTGCTGTGGTTGGGATAACTGGATGCCGCAGCGGGCTGGAGTGGGCGGAGAGAAAGGGGAAGTGGAGGTATGCGCTCAGCCACGAGTGCTTGTGGGTGAGGCGAGGCACCGCAGGACACTCCACCTGGCTTCTCTCCCTGCCAGGGACGGCCACCCGCCTGCTGTGCCCTTTGCGCCTCACCTGGGGCCCTTGAACAAAGTTTGGCACAGAGCAGGTGACACGTGGCTGGACACATGAGTGGTTTTTTAGGCACTCGAGGGCCCAGGAGAGCCCTCCGAGGATTTATGCATAGGGAAGTGTTCGAGCCACGGGGGGTGTCTGTGATAATAACAAAAAGGTTTAGTGGGCCCTCCCTGGTGGCGCAGCACTGAGAATCTAAAGCCGCTTCCGCATGAGTTCGATCCCCGCCTGCCCCGGAGGTGACCACATGGCGCGGCAGACCTCTCCTGACCCGCCCGCTGCTCCCCTCAGCAGTGTACTTCGTCAATCGGCCTGTTCTGCTCCCCACTCTGTCTCTGGTGAAGCCTCTCACCGCCCCTGAGCCTCTGGCCTGTACCCCAGTTCTGTGTGCACAAATAAATAAATCTTTAGGGGAAAAAAAGGTTTATTGTTCAAAATTTTTAGACAACAGAACATGTTTAAAGAAAAAATTAAAACCAAATCCAATCTGTATAACTACACCGCCCGGAGATGGCGTCTAAAAACACAGAATTGGAATTATGCTGAGTTCACTGTCTTGAACTCTACTTTCCCCTTGTAGCACTATGTATTCCCTGCAAACAGTGTTAATCTCCCAGTGCTGTGCCGCCTGGGGTTTGACGGCCTAGTTATCGGTCCCTCCAGCAGGCTGACGGGCTGGGTGTGGTGGGCACAGGGAAGGAATCTCAGCAAAGGGCTTGAACCCCACACTTGAGCTGAGTCCTGAAGAAACAGGAGTCAGCCAGGTGCGAGAGGTGGGGCGGGCCTGGGCGGGCTCTGGGAGACCTGGCAGCAGGACCTTCCCTAACTGTTGCTCCTAGAGCTTAAAGTTCAAAGTCAGGAGCAAGGAGTGGCCTGGCCAGAAACAAGCAGGAAGACAGGAGCTGATGGATGGCCTCTGGCACCTTGTTAAGGTTTAGACTTTGACCTGCAGGTAGCTGGGGCCTTAAGGGTGTTTAACACTTACATTCTTTGTGCCTGAGCCCTGCAACCCACTTCGCTTTCTTTGGGGGAGGGCTGGGGGCTCCCCTATCTTTCCCCCTCCTCCCCTCCCAACTGGCTCTCCTCTAGCCTGGAATTGATTCTGAGGCCTGCAGAACCACACATCCAGGAACCTCCCTTCCCTATCTAGAGGCAATGCTGGTTCCTGTCCAGAGCTGGGGAACTGGGGAGGGTGGTGGTGAGGACTGTAATATGGAACAGGACCTGCCCCTATGTGACCAGAGGGGAGGCCCAGAAGGGACAGGTCCAGGCCATTTCTGTTCCTGCCCAACCTTTGATTGGCCCATTTCTGCACAGCTGGACAAACATGGTTATCAATATTTTATTATTATTGATAAATAATTAATGGCATTGTCCCCTGCATCTGGGTACTTCATACTTTACAAAGCAAGTTGAAGAACATTTCCTGGTTCTCTCTTCACTACACTTTCCAGAACTGGACAGACATTTTGCAGCCAGGGGAACTGAGGCAGAGGTACTGTGACTTACAGGTCACCCGGCTGACAAGGGCCAGAAGCAGGACTGTGACGGGGGGCTGCCCTGACGTCACGCCTCCCTCCTCCTACAGGTGGACGACCCCCCGGGGCCGAAGCCCGAGCCGGAGCCGGTGTATGCCAACCTCGAGAGGCAGCCACAGCCGCAGCCACAGCCGCAACCTCGGGCCACATCCCCCGCCGCCGCTGCCGCCGCCCCCGGCCCGGTGTGGCAGACGCTCACGGACGAGGGCACCGGGCTCCCCTACTACTACAACCCAGACACGGGCGTGACGACCTGGGAGTCGCCCTTCGAAGCGGCCGAGGGTGCCACCAGCCCGGCCACCTCCCGGGCCTCGGTGGGCAGCCGCGAGAGCCTCAGCGCCGAGTGGGACCAGTACTGGGATGAGGAGAGCCACCGGGTGTTCTTCTACAACACGCTGACGGGCGAGACGGCCTGGGAGGACGAGCAGGAGCACGTGCCCGAGGACGAGCTGGAGATGCAGCCCCGCGACAGACAGCGCAGCTCCCAGGACGAGCGGGTGAGGGGGGGCGGGGGCGTGGCTAGGCCCTGGCCCCGCCCCGAGCTGGGGTTGGCCGGGGCGGGGCGGGGCCTGAGCGGGAGGGGCGGGGCTGAAGGGTGGGGCGGGAGTGGAACCGGCAGGGACTCTGAGGGCGCCTCCTGCTCCCTACAGTCCCGGGGAGCAGAGGTTGAGCCACCGAGGCCTGGCCCGAAAGGGCAGAGTCCGGTGTCAGTACTGCCTCTGAAAGCCTCTGACTCCGTCTTCTGCTCCGACAGCCCCCCACTCCTGAGACGGACTACCCCGAGTTGCCTGCCTCTTACCCCGAAGAGGACTACTCCCCCGAGGGCTCTGTAAGTGAGCCGGACCCCAGTTCTCCCTCGGCACCGCCCCCTGGCTGGTCTTGCTACGTGGACGCTGATGGACGGACGATCTACACCAATCACTACACCCAAGAGCAGGTAGGGGCCTCGGCCGGGTGCTCCCCAACCCTCCCTCACGGGTGCTCCCTTCTCTCTCTAGGCGCTTCCCTCCCCCCCCATGCCAGTCTGCCCAAGACTCCGCCCCCTGCCCCCTCCCTCCAGACACCTGGGGCTTCTGCTGGGCTCCTGGGTTGGCACGAACCTTCTCACTGCGGCCGGCTGGGTGCGCTGACCTTCCCTCCTCCCCACAGTGGGTGAGGCTGGAGGACCACGGGAAGCCTTACTTCTACAACCGCAGTGACGCCACTGTTCAGTGGGAGCTGCCCCAGGTAAGCAGCTGGGGAAGGGAGGTGCAGGGCGAGAAGAGGGCTGTAGCTTGTACTTGACAGTGTCGTTCTCTCCAGGTCCCTGTCCCTGCCCCTCGAAGCTTCCGTAAAACTAGCCGGGAAAGTGAGATGCCAGCACAGGCCAGCCCACCAGAGGAGAAGGTAAGGGAGTGGGCAGGCCCTGGCCAGACCCCATAGGAGAAGTGGGGTTGGAGCGCTGGAGGCCGCAGCATTCACTTGGGCTAAATGAGCCCTGGGTCATCCAGGCCAGCGCCGCCAGGGGAGCTGGCCTCTTGCTGTTGTTGCTGCTTGGGAAGCTGGAGCCCCTCCCCACCAGCAGCGGGGAAGAGGGGTCAGTGGGGAAGGCCCAGCCTACCGGGAGCTGCTGGCTGAGGGGAGGGCTAACTCCCTTCACTGCCTGTACTTCCCCTTTTTTCTGTAAGAACAAGACCCTGGACAAGGCAGGTGTGCTCCATCGCACCAAGACCGTGGACAAGGGGAAGAGACTCCGGTAAGAGCCGTGTGCACCCGGAGAGGCAGGGTGGGCCTCCGTGACCCCTTCACCGGGCCCCGTCCCTGTGCCAGGTTCACATCAGCCCTCAGCGCCACTTTATCAGGGGACTGATGGGGATGCGGAGGCGCCGGAGACAGAGACGTGCCCAAGGTCCCTGGGCTTGGGTGCTCTGAGAGCCCACCCCTTGTGACAGGGTGTGTGTGTGTGTGTGTGTGTGTGTGTGTGTGTGTGTGTGTGTGCCCCAAAGAGCTCTGAAACTTGGCCCTGCCCCTGGAGGGAAGGGCACCCTTAGCCACGCCCCCACCTCTACCCAGGAAGAAGCACTGGAGCACCTCCTGGACGGTGCTGGAGGGAGGCGTCCTGACATTCTTCAAGGACTCCAAGAGCTTGGTGGCAGCTGGTCTGGTGAGTCCCTGGCCCCCAGGTTTGGGGCCCCCCACCTGCTCTGACCCCTGGCCTGCCTGGCTGTGGAAGACTGCCCTGAGACAGGGGCACAAGAGGGAGCTGGGCCTTGCCGGGAGGTGATGACGGCAGAATCACCGCAGGACAAGCACTTCCAGCCCCCCTTGAGGGTGATCCACTCCAGCCAGGTTGGCAGGAGGTTGCCCCTGTTCATGGGGATGGGGCCACCCTACTTTCTCCTTTCCTCCCCTGGAGGCCCAGCAGCAGAGGACCAGCCATGCTGTATATCTCTGGGTTCCAGAAACCCTTGAGGAACAGGGTTCCTCAGAGCTGTGACCCCATCCTGTCCCCAGGAGCCAGGTTCCTGGTGGCAGGCCCTCTGAGCTGAGTGCTCTCGCTAACTGTGTCCCCACTTTCTTCCCTCTCCCACAGAGGCAGCCTTCCAAGCTCTCCACCCCTGAGTACACGGTGGATCTGAGGGGGGCCTTGCTCACCTGGGCCCCCAAAGACAAATCCAGCAAGAAGAATGTACTGGAGGTGAGGGGTGGGGGAGGGAGAGGGCTCACCTTGGCTTGGGACCCTCACTTGGCAAACTGGAAGAATGGAGGCCTGGGAAGGGTTGGGGCTACATGCTCAGGCTTCAGGGGCAGAGGCACCCCAGCCTCAGTGTTTGTCCACAGTGTTACTGGCACCACGGATTCTCAGTTCCTACTCCAGGAACGTGGCCTCCATGGGTGTGGAGGCTTAGGGGTCTCTGGGCGGTCCCCATCCCCGCCGCCCACCCCTGGCTCCTTACTGGGTAGACTGTGCAGGAGGGAGGATAGTAGCTTCTCTGCCTGGTCAGAGCCCAGCCTCCAGCTGGACGGCATGCCCAGAGACTAAACCAGGACTGTAGGCTTGTTTCTCTGGCCTGCCCAGCAGGAAGAGGGGGGCCCATGAGGCCTAGGCAAGTGCACCCCTTTCACTGCCCCCGCATTGTCGTGTTTTCAAGATGTTCTTATCTCCACCTTGGTCCCCAAAGTTTTGAGTCAATTCACGCACAAACACTTGAGGTGAGCTGGTAAAATCCACTGAAAAGCCAGAGCCAGACAAAGCAAGTTAGTGGAGGGGGTGCACATAAAGAGAAATTAGGGGCACAAGAAGTGCGGGTGCTAAAGTAGTTGCTGGGAAAAAAATTAACTGCAGGTTTCCTGGTAGCCAAAGTGCAAAGAGAGTCCTCGGTTATGTGACTCTTACTATTGGAAAGAGTCACAGATTTTGAGGGGAATCAGGATATTTCCTAATCCTTAACTCTTGAAGAAGTTTCTAGAGTTTGGAGGAGTAAGGCCAGTGCCCAGCCAAAGAGCTCTAATTCACAAGGGACTCTGTAGGTGCTTCTAGCTGACCTCATGTCACAGTTCAGAAAAACAGCTCTCCCGGGAGCTTGATGGTTTCTTGGTGATTCATGCTTCATTCAGTGTTTTTTTCTGATGACTCATGCTGCCTTCAGCTCTACAACCGGAGTATCCACTGAGCAGGTTTGGAAAACCCGTTTGTTCTCACGAGCCACTCTGATAGTAGGTCTAGAGCCATCTGGAGAAGAATTCCAGAACCTTCTCTAGGCCTGGCAGGATAGAGTGCAATTTAGTGTCAGCCATGAGTGTCTGATTGAGAGGGACATCACATTTGCCAGCCTGTATGTCGTCTAACACAGAAGGACACGCTTCAGTTTTCTGAGCTGGTCTTTGATGCAGGTTTCAGAGTAGACACTTCTGCCGTATCTTTTCAGGCAAGGACTGGAAGGCAGGTGTCTCAGAAGCTGTTCAAGCCACAGGGAGAGCTGAGTCTTGAATGAGGAGCCCGGCTTGTTCCACTCAGGGACAGCCCATAGACACCTGAGATCTTTCTCGAGACCTGGCTTGAGAAAATGATACAAATTCAAGTGATTCAAATACAAATTCTGTATCATCCAGGATGGCCAGATGGGTTGGGTCTGGGAAATTTTTGCACCATGTCCCCTAGAACCACAGAAAACATGAGCAACCGTTCCTGAGGCTGGCCGGTGTGGGGTAGTCAGCTGGCCTGTGCATTCCTCAGGGTGAATGCTTTCTGACGAGACGCGGGACCGTACAGCCTTGCTTTCTGCGTGAGCTTGCAAGTACCTGTCGCTGCCACAAGTAATGATGTCTGCTTAGAAGAGTTTTGCAGCAGCTCTCTGGAATACCAGAGGCAGATCTCTCGCCCACTTAGGTGAGAGTGAGGCTGTGCAGTCTGTTCTCGAAGGACCTCTCGTCTTTGCCAGGAGTAATGTAGTCTTGAAGCGGAAAGTACAGGTCGCTGCTTTTTTTGTTGTCTTATTTTCAGTTTGAGAAAGCTGCTTAAATAGCTTTTGAGCCTAAGCTGAAAAGGTAGGCAGCCCAAGATAGCCCATGCTGATTCTGGAAGCTGCTCTCTGTTATCCAGGGTTGTTTCTATCGACTCTCTTGACTCTCACTGGACTGAATGGGCAGTGTTGTGAGCTCCCCACCAGAGTTCACACACAGTGAGCGCTGGGTCCTCAGAGCCAGAGACAGAGAAAAGATCCTTCCACACTGCCAACTGCCTGGCCGAGCTCTTGGGAGACCATGTTGTTAGGGAAAGAGCCCTGTTGGGTTAAACATGGCCTGAGGTTAATCTGGGCTTGCTCCTGGCTATATAAAATAGTGGCTCTGGAAATACAGACTTCTGCACACTAAGGAAGAATGTGGCCTGGAGGGCGCCTCCAGCTCAGACTCCCAGCACAGTCTCCTCGGTCAGTGGCCTTCCTTGGAGAGAACGGTCAGAAAACCTGCTGTTAAGACGAGCTTCGATGTCAGAAAGCGCAGAAACTTCCTCCTGGTGTTTTGTTTAATTTACGTGTCTGGCTGCAGTGGGCTGCTGGAAGCTGCTTTGCCCAGGCTGGATTATGGGGGAGGGTGGAGCCTGGAGGCTACAAAAGGGGGGGCTGTACTCCCAGGTTGTCAGTGTGTGGGGGGGCTACTTGTTCTCTTCATATTGGCAGTGATGTGCTCCCAAAGCCAGTTCCCCAGCATCCCCCAGGGCTGCCAGGAGTCTCACACAGAGACCTTTTCCCCCTTGACTTTTTGCCAGCCAGGGTTCTGGCTGAGGCCTGTGTGCTCCGGGGCTGGTGGGGAGGCAGGTTGGAGCAGGGAGCCAGAGCCAGACAGACTGAGGTAGTCAGATCTTGCTCTGCCCCTCACTAGCTGAGTGTCCCCAAGGCAGTTGCGAAAACTCCTGATGGCCCATCTGTCACCCAGGAATGTGGTCACCTGCTGCCTTGGGTGAGGTGAAATGTCTGACCTGTGCCTTCAGGCTCTGAATCCCTGGGGACAGGAACAGATCAGCCCCATCTCTGTCTTCCCCCTGGGGCCTGGGCCCAGAGGTCCCTGAGTGACTTGTGTTCCTCCAGCTGCGAAGCCGAGATGGCTCAGAGTACCTGATCCAGCACGACTCAGAGGGCATCATCAGCACCTGGCACAAGGCCATCACCCAGGGCATCCAGGAGCTGGTAGGCAGAGCTGGGGCCCCCCAGGACATTGGGTTGGGGAGGGGGGATCAGCCATTGTGCAGGGCAGCTTTGTCTGCTGTGGGTGAGGCCTTCCACTCAGGTGCCAGGGGCTCCCTGGGACGAGCAGGTCAGTACCCCTCCTCGCAGATGAGCTTCCCCTGATGGCTGGATGGCAGATGCGCTGCCAGTGAAGCAGCCTTTCTTAAGTGTGAGTCCAGTCCCTGTGGTGGGGTGAAGGTGGAGGGCACATCCTAAGGAATGCTGCATTTCAAGAGACAGGAGGAAAAATAATTATCAAGAAACAGCCTCAGGCTGGAATGATGGATAAAATATGGTCCAAGTATCAACTGCATTAGTAGAGATGGAGCAGGCCTCCTCTGACAGTAGTTCACCTGGGAACAACCTGGGAGTTTTTGACCCTTTATTCCCTGTAAGCCAGCACTGGGTGCAGCATTTGGCTGTATTAATAGAAGCAGGAATCCAGGTCCAAGGAGGTGATCCTAGTACGGTTGCCAACAACCATAGCTAGAATTGCAAGCTCAGAATAGGAAGCTACTTCATTTGAGGAATGCTGACCCAGTATAGTGTGCATAAAGGGGCTGAGGAAAACGGGAAAGGCACCAGCAACGGGGAGTGGGCCCGGGGCCAGGTTAAAGGATGGGGGAGGACAGGCTAACTGTCCCAAGTCCTGAAGCCTCCCTGCTGCCCAGGCAGGAGAGGCCTGTGAGGCCCCCTGCTGGAGGAGAGGGCAGGTAACCTGACTGAGGGAAGAGTGAGTTCCCTGCCTGCTCACCTGGCCAGCCGGGAGGGCACCGGGCTCCTGCGTCCCATCCCGAAGGCCCCTCGGGCTCTGCCTCTCTGAGACTTTGTGATTCAGTCGGCAGACATGCCCCCAGAGGAGGAAATTGAGAGAATCTGCATGAACTCGGGGTCCAGGGAGCGCCTGGGCAGCTGGCAGGACAAGGAGGATGACCTGCGGTACAGTGCAGGTGCGTGAGCATGGACTTGGGGGCGTGGGGGTCATCTTCTGGGGTTGGCGGCAGCAGCGTCGGCCTCACACCGTCACCGACTGGGTCTCGTGTGCCCCGTGGCAGCTGCACTGGCCCTGGGCGCCGGCGGCCTGGAGAGCGACTTGAGCAAGGTCCGGCACCGGCTGCGGAAGCTGCTGCTGAGGCGGCCCACGCTGCAGTCGCTGCGGGAGAAGGGCTACATCAGAGGTACGCGAGCGGCCTGGGGAGGGGCGCGGCTCCCTGCGGCCAGCCAGCCTCTGACCAGCACCCGTCCCCCCCAGACCAGGTGTTCGGCTGCCCGCTGGAGGAGCTGTGTGAGCGCGAGAGGAGCCGGGTGCCGCGCTTCGTGCAGCAGTGCATCCGCACGGTGGAGGCCCGTGGTAGGCGCTCTGGGCCGGGCACCCGGCGCCCCTGGCGGCCTTCCGCGCCCCATACCGGACCCCGGGGAGGGCGCATCGTAGAGGGGGAAGTACAGGGACCCTTGAGTGGGACTCACAGCAGGGAATTTACCCCAACCCTGCAAGCCCGGGGTCAGCGCCTCCCTCTGCCCCAGGACTGGACATCGACGGACTATACCGCATCAGCGGGAACCTGGCCACCATCCAGAAGCTGCGCCATAGGGCGGACCACGGTGAGGCCCGGCCCCCACCCTGCCAGGGGACCCAGGGCGCAAAGGCCCTGACCCCCCCTTCACTGCTCCTCCCCACCTGCCGCAGATGAGCGTCTCGACCTGGACGATGGGCGCTGGGAGGACGTCCACGTCATCACCGGCGCCCTGAAGCTCTTCTTTCGGGAGCTGCCAGAGCCCCTCTTCCCCTTCTCGCACTTCCCCCAGTTCATGGCCGCCATCAGTGAGCACAGCGGGAAGGGAGGGGAGGGGCTGGAGCTGCTGGGGGGGAGGGGTTTGGCCCAGACACACCCATTCACACGCACCCACGGGCGCCAGCACCCTCATTCCCCGTGCGTGACGACCCTCCCTCTCCTCCCACCCCACCCCGTCCTCAGAGCTGCAGGACCAGGCGCAGCGCATCCGCTGTGTGCGTGACCTGGTGCGCTCGCTGCCGGCCCCCAACCACGACACGCTGCGGCTGCTCTTTCAGCACCTGTGCCGGTGAGGGGGTGACCCTTGCAGGAAATGGGGAGGCCTCCCTCCAGGTCTGGACCCTGATGCCACCCCCATCTCCCACGGCAGGGTGATCGAGCACGGCGAGGAGAACCGCATGTCGGTGCAGAGCGTGGCCATAGTGTTCGGGCCCACGCTGCTGCGGCCCGAGACGGAGGAGACCAGCATGCCCATGACCATGGTGTTCCAGAACCAGGTGGTGGAGCTCATCCTGCAGCAGTGCGCTGACATCTTCCAGCCCCACTGACCACGGCCCGCCTCCGCTGGCGCTGTGGACTTGGGAACGGGGCAGCCCCTGGCCCTGCCACAGGAGCTGGGCAACTGGAGGCCACGCCTGGACTCTTATCTCTGAGGCCCTGGGCCTCCAGCCCACCTGTAGGCGGTGCGAATTCCGCACCATCAGTTCCAAGGGTATGGTGACCCCTGGTGGGGCAATTAGCAAAATGTGATTTTTCCTTGCAGGTCCTATTCCTGGGTTAGCTGGATCGTGTTCGTTGTCACAGCGCCACCTACTGTGCATTGCCAGAATGAGGGTGGGAGCGGGGCCCCTGGGCCGCCTCGCTGGGAGGAGGAATCTGGGGTGAAGTCTTCCGCCCTAAACCTGCTGGCGACGGTCTTCCAGGGCCTGGCCCTGAGCTGGCCTCCAGGCAGGAACTGACAGCTTCCCTGCGGCAAAACAGAACTGAGGGCGGCCTCCAGTGTGGGCGGTAGGGGGCGCCCCCTAGCGGTTCCGGGCTGGGGGAGACATTTAGTCTGCTGTCCTGTTTGGGGTTCCAGGCCTCTGCCCTCCCTGATCCCTTACATTCCATGCAAAGATCCTCCCCAGTCACTAAGTGTGTACCTTCTCCCTGCCAAGCGAGTTGCCCATTGCCACACGCAACCCCATTCTGCAGATAGGGAAACAGGCTTGCAGACTCAGAGAACTGCTCAGGGCCCAGCTGGGTGACCTGATGTACACTAGAGCCTCACCTCCTGGAGGCTGAAATCAATCCTTTCACCTACCGCCCCCTCAACCCAGCGTGGGAAAATAGGTAAAGCAAAAGAAACTACCCGGTGCCTTCTGTCCAGATCTGGGGGGGAAGGGGAAGGGCGGAGGTAGAGGAGAGCCTGCCCAGAGCTTCTGGGGGAGGGGCTCACACAGGCAAGAGCCTGGCCCCTCTTGGCTTGCTGGCTGTCAGGGATGCCCACCTGGTGCCCACCTTGCCTTGAAGACAGGGAGACAGGTGGGGATGGAGCCGCAGGGAAGGGCGCATCCTGGGTTCAGCCGCCCCCTTTCCTCCTTGTACACAAACACCTCAGGTTATGGGTCCTGGTCCCCACCCATCTGTTCATGTATTCAACAAACAATAATAGTTAATATTTATTGGACATTCGCATCATGTCAAGCATTTTACTTGGATTGTCTCATTCGTTTCTCACAGCCAGTATTTATTTTCTGCTGTTCTGTGCCAGGCACTGTGCCCTGGGGCAGGGCACTGCCCACACTGCCTACCCTGTGGAGCCTGCGTGTGGCCAGTGAGGCCAGCCAGGCCCTGTCTAGTGCCGGTGGGGCTGGGGGTGTGTACAGTGGAGGCCTCACACCAGCCACCAAATATTTAAAAGTTGAGTCGAGCTAACAACTGTTAAATAAAATACTCTATTCTCCTACTTTGACAAATGTGCTTTCAAAACTGCCTCGAAGACCAGGTTCCAATTTTGACTTGACTCTTCCAAATTCCGTGCGTCCAGGGAGCCAGCTCTGCTCTCAGTGTGTCGCCCCCTCTTTCCACTCTCAGAACCACCGCGCCCCCAGGAGATTCGCGCGCCACTCCTGTGGACAGTCCGGAGCAGGGGCGTGCTCTGCCCGTGCCCCTGAGGGAATGGGCTGGGGCGACGAGGGTGGGCACCACGGGGTCCTGTGTATCGGGGTCCTGCGGGGGACTGAGGTCTCGAGGGAAGTCCCTGAACTTCGAGGGGAGCCCACGGACACCTGTCCAGTGGGGAGAGGCACAGAGAAGGGCCAGAGCACAGTAGAGGACCCCCTCGTGCAGGCTGGACAGTTGTCAGACACCTGATGACTTGGTGACGACCTTTGCACAAGAGCCTGGACGGGGCACAGGCTGCTCTGATGGGGTCACTGGGGAACAGCTGTCTCCTCGGTGACCTTTGTGAGAGATGTCTGCACAAGCTGCGTTGGGGCCAACCACAGAGTGAAGAGGAATCAACAAGGGGGGGACTGAAGGAAGAGCGTCTAGTCACTAGTTAGTGGGAGCAGCTGTGCAAGGGGCCTGAGGCAGGCCTGTGGGGGAGCCGGAACTAAGAGCATCTGACAGCCCAGAAAGCGGCGGCCGAGGCGCGGCTGGTGCTGGAGTGGTGCACGGCAGGGTCTGTGACTCCGTCTGGCGGGGTGCTGTTACCACTTCACCACCACAGTGAGCAGGAGACTCTTTGGCCAAGGAGTCTCGGGGAGCAGCGGCCGTCTCCGTCTGATCCCCACCCCCACCCTGGCCGATGGCCAAGATGTCTGTGGGCAGAGAAAGCGAGGCAGGCAGAGCCCGAGCATCCTGGGTCTTGTCAGCAGAGAGGCCTCAGAAGCCTCGCCGTGACCTCAGGTGACTCCGGCTGCCAATGAGGACGCTGCTGGAGGGAGAACCTGGTGACTCACCTGAGGTCACACGCAGGTTGGAACCTCACCGGCGCTTTCTTCACACCATTTGGACCTGTTCACCGGAAGTTTGATCCTGGCCATAAATCCCACTCCCTGTTCCCGTAGGCTGGAAGGGAGTAGATCTGTCTACTGGGCTGTCAGACGCTCTGAGCTCCGGCTCCCCCACAGGCCTGCCTCAGGCCCCTTGCACAGCTGCTCCCACTAACTAGTGACTAGACGCTCTTCCTTCAGTCCCCCCCTTGTTGACTCCTCTTCACTCTGTGGTTGGCCCCAACGCAGCTTGTGCAGACACCTCTCACAAAGGTCACCGAGGAGACAGCTGTTCCCCAGTGACCCCATCAGAGCATCCTGTGCCCCGTCCAGGCTCTTGTGCAAAGGTCGTCACCAAACAAGTGCCCACTTGAAGTGGGGTCTGGTGGGACGACAGACCTGAAAGCAAGGGGTAGTAGAGCAGTTGACCGGGGACCCGCTCCCCTAGCCTGTCCCCAGCAACCCCCTCAGCCGCACTTGCCCTGAGGCTACCCTGGGAAAGACCCCAGTGTCTGCCTGGTGGCGAGGGTCCCGTCCCTGTGTGGGTGGGCACAGGAGCCCCGCCCCCCATGACTCTGACTCCTCCCCAGGCCTGCCCGTGTCACCCAAACCACCACTAAGTGGGCTCCCTCTCCCGCATTCCAGGCACAGGTGCCCCCCTGTGCGGGTGGCCGCCAGGCACCCCGAGTGCAGCCAGCGCCCCTCTCTGTTTCCGTGCTTGCGCCTCCAGGTAGGACTGTCCTCCGCCGACCCAAACGGTCAGCCGCCAGGTCCTTACTTCCTCCTCCCGAGTCCTTCCCAAATCTGCCTGCCCCGCCCCACGTTCTGTGAACAGGCTCCCCTCCTTCCACACTCCGCCCCCCACCTTCAGCCACTAGCAGGTGACCTCAGGGTGTGACCTCCAGCCTCCCAGCGCCTTTGCCTTCCTGACCCAGGTCGGGCCTCCTCCCCCCGCACTCCCTGAGGGATGACTGCGGCCCCTGTGCACCGGTCACTAGTGTGTCAAGCCACCAGACATGGCTGCTCCCGTGTCGCCTGACAGCCTGATGTCCGTCTGGCACGGCCTGGACCCAACACTGGACACTGGTCATCCTCAAACCTGGTCCTCTGGCAGGATATCCTCTCCCAGGAAATGGCTCCAACAGTCCTCCAGCTGGGCAGGCGGGAAGGGGGGATGCCAGGACCCTGCAGCTCCCCATCTCTCTTGGCCCCCACCCATCGATGCCCTGGTTCTGTTTACTGTCTGCCCATCACAGGATCCGGCCCAGTCTAACCGCTCCCCTGGGCCATGCAGAGCTCCCAGGCCCCCCTCCTTCCTGAACCCTCTCCTGTCACTTTGAAAACAAAGCTGGTTATATTATCACCTGCTTTAAAAGCTTCCCCTCCCTGGTGCAACAAGTAAGGACAAAGCACTGCAAGCTGGCTGCAGCCGCTTCAGTGCGAGTTCGATCACCGCCCCGGAGGTGACCACATGGCGTGGCAGACCTCTCCTGGCCCTCCCACTGCTCCCCTCAGCAGTGTACTTCGTCCATCTGCCTGTTCTGCTCCCCACTCTGTCTCTGGTGAATCCTCTCACCTGCACCTCTGGCCTGTACCCCAGTTCTGTGTGCATGAATAAATACATCTTAAAAAAAAAAAAAAGCTTTTCCCCCATTTAAGGAAAAGACCACTGGCTTTAACATGACTCCAGGCGGCCTGACCCAACCCCGACCACCCTCAGCTTCCCACATGAAGCTCGCAGCTCACTGACTCAGAGGCAAGGCTCTGAGCCAGGTGCCTGGGTCCAAGGCCCACCTCCCTGCCAGGGGTCTTTGGGTAAATGATTCCTTCCTCTGTGTCCTGGTGTCCTCACCCAGAAACTACCTCTGAGAGAGTGGTGGTGAATATTACATGAAAGAATGCTTCTGAGCTTCTGAGAACAGAGTCCAGGCAGAGTAAACATTCAGCAAATATGTGGTGGGTCTCTGCCTCAGCTGCATTTCACTTCTGCGCTGTGGTTACACTGATCCCTCCACCAGTTTCTCAAATGTGTCATGTTCCCTCCTGCCCCAGGACCTTTGCATGTGCCGTTCCTGTCTGCATTGTGCCATCTTTGCCTATTCTGCTAACCCTTCCCCAGCAGGCCCTCTGAAAGCCTGGCAAGGTCAGCTTTGTTGCAGGACACCAGAGACCCAGACACTTCTATCTCAGCTTGTCACTTTACAACCACATGCCATGTTTATTGCTGTCTGCTCCCCACCCCATGATACTATGGTTTCCAGAGGGGTGGGGAGGCTGTTCTTGCTCACCTTTATACGCCGGCATCTAGCATAGTGCCTGGCACCTGGCACAAAGGGGCTCAGTCACCACTGGTGCTTACAAAGGCAGGTGGCGGGGTTCCCAACCCAGTGCTGCCACTTCCCGTCACGTGATCTCGGGCAAGTTGTTTACCTCAGCGCACCCGTCCTAAAGCACGGGTCTTCACACCAGAGCCTTCTCGAGACTGTAACAGGAGAGGTGTGCGACACAGTGGCCCAGCCCCCGGTGAGGAGCATCCTTGCCTTCACTCCTCAGACCCCAGGACCCCGAAGTCAGATGCCCAGGGGCGGGGCCGGCAGGGGCAGCCCCAGAGCGTCTTGGGAGAAGTGTCCCAGTGGCAGGACACATAGTAGGACAGCACCCGGCCGTTCCCCCCTCCCCCCCCTCCCCTCCTTCTGCGAGGTCAACACAGCCTCTCCTGAAGACTGAGTCCCATCAGTGCCAAGGGGTGCGTACCTTGTCCCATCTGGGGCCAGAGGTGGGACAGGGCCCCCTCCAGTCCATGCAGGATGTTCCCATAGGGATTAGCAGGAACTGGGCTTGGCAGGACCAGCCGCCTGTGCCCTCCAAGTGGGGACAGCAGGTGGCCGGCCTCCTGGGCTCCATTTCCTTTCCTCCATCCTGCCCTGCCCACCAGGGGCCACTAGGTGGAGATAACCTCGTGGGTGATAGAGCCGGGTGCTTTCTCTTCTTTCCATAAACGTTTTATTTGGCAAGAATGCGGGACTCCTAGGAAGTCACGCAGGTAGTACGTGTGGCCCGTGTGTCCAGTGTCCACCACCTGGCCTCCCTGGCGGGCCCATGCGCCCAGTTGCAGCGAGTCGTGAAGACCAGGAGCGGGCGCGCGGTCCGGACTACAGACCTCACCCAGGCCGGGCTCTGCGCCGGCTCCCCGCCTGTGTATGACACCTCGCAGTGTGACGGCCACCGCGGCCATCGGGACACGGTTCAGCCTCTTCAAAGAAATCTCTAGCGCGGCTCCGCCCTCCCCTCTGCGAGCTCCAGGCACCCTCGCCTCTCTGACGGTGTCACTGAGAGCCGGTTCTGTAAGTGGAATCGAGGCGGCTGTAGCCTGCGGCTGCGGCTGCGCCTGCGCTTAGAGTAACGCCCCAAGGGCCCCCGCAAGTCCTGGCTAATGCGGGGCGCGTAGCTTGCTCTCTGGGTAACATCCACGAGCTTCCAAAGGGGCCCAGAGGAGGACGGAGGCCCATTAGGAGGCTGGTGGCCGGTAAATGTCGCAGCCCAGCCGGAGCCACATCCTAGGGAGCCCTGACCCCTCCCTGCCCCTGAATCTGGCCCAGGATAATGCTGGAGGCCCGGTGGGTCCCGGTGGGTCCAGAGGACCGTTGGAGCGAGGTGCCAGTAGGGGGCGCCAGAGGTCTTTTGCCCAAAGGGTGGGTTTCAACAGGGAACACTGGAGGGGGTTCCAGGGACGCTGGGACTCCGCTTGCGTGACCAAAAGAACCCTGGGTTTCCCCCTTCCAGTCCCCAGCCTACAGATGCCGTCCAGCAGGGGGAAGGCGGCTCACGACAGGTTAGTGGAGGAGGCGGCCAGGGGGCCTGGACGCGAGGCTTGTGTGGCCGGGAGGGGCCTGCTCCTCTGGCCCCATGCTCCCCCTCTGGGCTCAGGCGGC